GATGGATCTACTATATAATCTTAGTGACCGCATGAAGAGACAAGAAGAAGAATTGGCCGCTTTAAGACAATATAAGGAGAATGACAACCGAGAGGGAAATGGCCAACAAGAAGGAAGCCATACCAAGGTATTCAATGCGAGCCAATCTGCTGATGAAGGCTTACCTCCTTATTCTCACCATGAGACTAGTCCGAAGAATGTGAGTCTCCACTCTGAGCAACAGACATCCACGATCACAAAGATCTGGAGTACTTTTCGTAAGTTTAATCCTCCTACTTTCGATGGAAATCTTAAGCCGGCGGTGGTTGAAGAATGGATAGATCAATTGGAGAGTATTTTTCGTATGGTTGTGTGCACTTCTAATCAAAAGGTGCAGCTGGCAATATTCCTACTACAGAAGAGTGCTAAGAAATGGTGGGAAACATCAGGACCGAAGGATGATTCCTCTCTTACTTGGGAAGATTTTAAAGCCATATTGTTCGAGAATTATTTTCCTACTGCACTGAGAGCAGAAAAGGAGGCTGAGTTTCATGCATTCCGCCAGGGTGATCTAGATGAGGATGAATTTATTGAACAATTCTCAGAATTATCTAAATACTCTACTTACCTCCAGAAACATGAAGACACGGAGTGGATGGCTGAACGATTACTAGAGAAGGCGAGGCCTGATCTAAGGGAACAGTTAGCCCCTTTTGAGATCAAGACCTTCAGTGAGATGTGCAATAAGCTTCGAATAGTTTCTCGGAGGAAGAGAGAGGCTAGATTAGAAGCTGATAGAGAGAGGAGGAAAGAACCTCATGGGAAGCCCCCTATCCACACCAGACCCATTGGCGGAGTAGAGAAGAGGAGCAGTCAAATCTTTGGAGGCTTTAGAAATCAGAAGAAGAAGGGCTACTATCATAAGGGCAAGAGCTACAGAGGGAATCAGAGTGGAAGTCAAGGGTCCTATAGGAGCCCAGCTACCTTTAATCCTACTTCCGGTGCTGCTAGTAATCAAGCATGCAGTAAGTGTGGGAAGTTTCATTCTGGTGATTGTTGGGTTTGTTACATCTGTCAGAAGCCTGGTCATATTGCCCGATTCTGCTATCAAAATCAGAATAGGGGTAATGATCAGAGACCTACAGTACCAGCACGAGTGTATGCCCTCTCTGGGCCGGAGGCTACTAATAACCCTAATGCTATCCGAGGTATAATCCGAATCCTTGATAATGATATTTGTGCTTTGTTTGATTCGGGTGCTACACACTCTTTTGTGTCTGATGAATGTATGAAAAGATGTAAATTGCCTGTGTGTACCTTACCTTTTGATGTGAAGATTTCTACTCCTGCTGGTTTGACTGTAAGGACTGCTAAGGCATGTCTAAATGTAGAGGTTGAGTATGAGGGTCGAAAGACCACCATAGACCTCATTTGTTTGTCTTTGTCTGGGATTGATGTTATTGTGGGGATGGATTGGTTGTCTGCAAATGGAGCTGTACTTAATTGTCAGAAAAAGAGTGTGTTACTCTCAGCTCTTACTGTAACCCCTATAGAGTCCCAAAGTCCTATGTTATTGTCTGCAGCTCAAGTAGAACAGTGTATAAGAAAGGGCTGTCAAGCTTTTATGATTTTCTTCTCAATCAAGGCAGAGATTGAAGAAGGTGTAGATCAGATTCCAGTAGTGAGAGAATTCCCTGACGTCTTTCCTACTGAAGTGATCGGTTTGCCTCCAGAATGAGAGGTTGAGTTCTCGATTGAACTCGTACCTGGTACGGGGCCTATTTCTAAGGCACCCTATAGGATGTCTCCATCGGAGTTAGCTGAGTTGAAGAGACAAATTGAAGAGTTATTAGAGAAGGGGTTTATCAGACCGAGTGTATCACCATGGGGGTCACCGGTACTGTTTGTGAAAAAGAAAGATGGAAGCCTTAGATTGTGTATTGATTATAGACAATTGAATAAGGTAACCATCAAGAATAAGTACCCCTTACCTTGAATTGATGATTTGTTAGACCAATTAGTCAATTCAGCGGTGTTTTCTAAGATTGATCTAAGATCAGGGTATCATCAATTGAGGGCTAGAGCAGAGGATATCCCTAAAACTGCTTTTAGAACTAGATATGGGCACTATGAGTTCCTAGTGATGCCGTTTGGGTTAACAAATGCCCCAGCTGTCTTCATGGATTATATGAATCGAATCTTCAGGCCTTATCTCGATGAATTTGTTGTAGTCTTTATTGATGACATACTTATTTATTCTCGAGATGAGGTGGACCATGCTAGACATCTTAAAATTGTTTTGGAGATATTAAGAGAGCACAAGCTCTATGCCAAGTTGAGCAAATGTGATTTTTGGCTTAAAGAAGTTAAATTCTTAGGCCATGTTGTTTCAGAAGAAGGGGTAGCAGTGGACCCTAGTAAGATAGATGCAGTGATGAAATGGGAGCAACCTCGAAGTGTGACAGAGATTAGGAGTTTCTTGGGTCTTGCAGGCTACTATCGTCGTTTCATTAAGGGTTTTTCACAAATTGCAATGCCCTTGACTAAGTTGACCAGGAAAGATGCTCCATTTATTTGGACGAACGAGTGTGAAATTGCATTCCAGGAGCTGAAAAAGAGGTTGACCACCACACCGGTGCTCACCTTACCTGTTCCAACTGCTCCTTATACCTTGTATACTGATGTTTCTAAGAAAGGTTTAGGTTGTGTATTGATGCAGGAGGATCGAGTAGTGGCTTATGCCTCTCGACAGTTGAGACCTCATGAGGAAAATTACCCTACTCATGACTTGGAGCTTGCTGCTGTGGTATTTGCCTTGAAGATTTGGAGGCACTATCTTTATGGTTCTTCTTTTGAAGTCTTCAGTGATCATAAAAGTTTAAAATATTTGTTTGATCAAAAGGAGCTCAACATGAGACAGCGCAGATGGATTGAGTTTTTGAAGGATTATGACTTTGAGTTGAAGTATCATCCAGGGAAAGCTAACGTAGTCGCCGACGCTCTGAGCAGGAAACTTGTACATACTGCTCACATGATGGTCAGAGAACATGAATTATGGAGTAGTTTTCATGCAGTAAATGTAGAAGTAGTCGAAAATCGTTTGGCTGCTCTACATATTACTGAATTTGAGAATAATTTTTGGGAAGAAATCAGAATTTCGCAGCAGAAGGACGATTATTTGAATAAGATTAGGGTAGAGATTGGGGCTGGAAAGGCTGAACATTTTGATGTGACCGATGATGATGTCGTAAGATATAAAGGTAGAGTGTGTGTGCCTAATGATACTCGATTGAAAAATATCTTACTTGAGGAGGCTCATCAGAGTAAATATACCATTCACCCAGGAGCAACTAAGATGTATCATGACTTAAGACGTGGTTGGTGGTGGCCAAGGATGAAGAGAGATGTAACTGAACATGTAACTCGTTGTTTGACTTGTCAGAAAGTCAAAATTGAGCATCAGAAACCAGCCGGGATGCTACAGTCTCTTGATATTCCAGAGTGGAAATGGGACAGCATTTCTATGGACTTCATTACAGGATTGCCTAGAACATCTTCTGGTCATGACACTATATGGGTAATCGTAGATCGACTCACCAAATCAGCTCATTTTCTTGCTACTAATATCAAGTATTCTCTCGAAAAATTAACTGAAATCTACATAAGAGAAGTGGTGAGATTGCATGGAGTGCCGACAAATATTGTATCTGATCGTGATCCGAGATTCACATCAAACTTTTGGAAGTCATTACAGGAAGCCATGGGTACTCGTCTGAGTTTTAGCACAGCTTACCACCCCCAGACCGATGGGCAAACGGAACGAACCATACAAACTCTTGAAGACATGTTAAGAGCGTGTGCCATTGAGCTTAGAGGTAATTGGGATAGTCACTTACCATTAGCTGAATTTGCCTACAATAATAGTTTTCATTCTAGCATTCAGATGGCACCTTATGAGGCATTGTATGGAAGAAAATGTAGATCGCCACTGTGTTGGACAGAATTAAGTGAGAGAACTGTTTTGGGGCCAGACATTGTTGATGAGACTACCCAAAAGATTGCTTTAATCAAGCAAAAATTACTCACAGCTCAAAGTAGACAAAAGAGTTATGCGGATAAGAGGAGAAGACCGCTTGAGTTTGAAGTAGGTGACCATGTATTTTTAAAAATCTCTCCGGTAACTGGTGTTGGAAGAGCTATTAAGGCTAAGAAGTTGACACCAAGGTTTATGGGGCCTTTTGAGATCTTAAAACGAGTTGGACCAGTAGCGTACCAAGTAGCATTACCACCCCAAATTGCTGGAATACACAACGTATTCCATGTGTCACAACTGAAAAAGTATCAACCAGATCCTTCCCATATAATTGAACCCGAGGAAATTGAACTCAGGGAGAATTTGACATTCAGAGCTGAACCAGAAAGGATTATGGATTATAAGGACAAGCAATTAAGAAATAAGACCATTAGATTGGTTAAAGTAATCTGGAAGAGCACAACTCCAGGTGATGTTACGTGGGAGACCGAGGACAGTATGCGACGTGATTATCCTCGTCTTTTTGATTAAGTGAGTAGTTAATAGTTATTAATTTTAAATTTTGAGGACAAAATTTCTAAAAGGAGGGGAGAATTGTAACATCCCAATTTAAATTTTAATAGTTAATTTGGGTTAATAAAAATTTTGAAAAGTATTATTAAATTATTATTATAAAAAAAAGGTATGAAAAAAAAAATAAATAAAAATAAAAAAAAATAAATAAAAAAATAAAAAATAAAATAATAAATAAAAAAATAAAATATTATTAAATTATTATTATATAATAAAAAGAAAGAAAGGAAAAGAAAGGAAGAAGAAGAAGAAAACGAATTTGCTTCGTCCGCCGCCTCAACAGTAACAATAATAAAATAATAATAAAAAGAAAAGAAGAAGAAGAGAGAGAAAATAATTTAAAAAAAATGTGGGACCCACTGAATTTTTATAAAAACTCACCTGTTCCTTCATTTCTTCATTCCTTCTTTCGTGCGTGAGCTTCGGCAGAGAGAGCATCTGTGAGCCAAATTCACCGGTGCTGGGTTTTAAGGTAAGAGTTTTTAATAGGATATTTAGGGTGTGATTTTAAGCTTTTCAAGACTAAGTAAGTGTTCTAAAAATTTTTCTTAGTCATCCTTCTTCTTTAGTTTCTGAGTTTGTAGTGGTAGAAAATTTAAGATCTGAAAGAGGGATGAATTTATGTTGAATAAATATGGTTTTTGAGGTTGTCAGTAGTATAATAAATGTTATAGAGTATAAATTTGTTAATGATCTTTGAATTTATGGCTTATGGATCAAATTCTAAACTAGATCTGAAAATATATGTTGATTTATTGAGGTTTAGATGATTATTTGGGATGAGAAATGAATTATTATGGTTATAGGATTATGATTCTAAGCTAGAGACTTAATTTTTTATTTTTGGGTATTTTAGGTACGAATTTATAAAATAAAAAGAAAATTTTGATAATAGAAATTAGTTTAAAATTTGATTTTTAGATTATCAATGTTTATTGATAATTAAAAGAGGAGTTAAAAATTATACTTAATAGTATTAACTATAGATTTGTATTAAGATTGAGATTAAGAATTATGTTATATTTTTAATTCTATTATTAGAATTATTTTATTAGTTTCAAAAATTGAAACTAATATTTATAAATAATATGTTATTTGTAGATTGTATTACTGGTGAAGATTGTGGTGAGAGAGAAATTTTAAGGAATAATTTATTGAAAAAGCCACAAGGTAACCATGCTTTTAATTTGTGATTAGTGTTACTTCTTGTTAATTGGGTGATTATTGAGAAAATTATGAATTTTGTAATATTGTATAATTGTGCAATATTATTATGAATTTGTTTAATTATTGTGGGAGGTGTTGGGAGACTTGCTATTGTTGTTGTATTTATGTGCCACGTGGTACGCCCCTATTGGAGCTCAATAGGTGGTTTGTAAGGGCTCGGGCTAATCTACCTTTGGCCGGGTAATTTAGTACCGAGTGAGGGCTACGGCTCGAGGTTAATGGAGGGATATAAGGATGGTTGTTTGTGTTTATTATAATATTTCTTATATTTGTTGGAATTATATTATTTTTAATTCTCACTTAGTAAGCACACACTTAACTGTTTGTATACACTATCATAAATTGGCTTTGGTTACTGGGACTTTTGAGTCTCATTATGTGGTTAACAATTTTCAGGAGAAGAGCCAAGAGTGACACGTGGAGGAGTCCCAGAGGCTTAGTGGTATAGATCCACTGTCTCTTTTGGGTATTTAATTTATGATTTATAATGTGTTATATTGCCAATATTAGGACTTTTTTTATGTTTATTGTCAATTATATGAATATATAAATGTAATCATGCCTTTCAAACTATTTCTATTTTTGGTACAATTTGGATGACTGTAATTTTAATATTTGGTTTACTTTGGATTGGTTAAAATGGCATGATTATAAGGCCAAATAACTGGCTTGTGTTGAAAATTGACTAAATTGCTTATTTTACTTGTTGGGAGTATAAGGATGGACAAATGTGATTTAGTTTACTTGTTGGGAGTATAAGGATGGACAAATGTGATTTAGCCTAATGGCATGTGGGAGGTAAAAATTTATCTGAAATGTTATAGTGTGTAAGTTGAAGCCAATTATAAAATATTTTATATCGAAATTATTGATATAAAAATGTGTTGGGTGGCTGTAACCCAACTATGGTTGAGTTAAATTATTTAAAAAAAAAAAATTTGGTGTGTTACATGGCGCATGGCATAGAGAGGCTCTCCCTCACTTCTTGCCCTTTGTGCATCGTGGTGGATATGTTACACGCTATGACATATGGCTGAGAGGTTTCTCCTTTAGCTTTTCTCATCTTTTGATGCCTGAGTAACCCGACTTTACTTTGAACCAATATTTAGGATTGAAATCACAAACAAACACACTTATTAGACCTCTTTGACCACATACCACATTAATCACTTAATTATCTTAGTTAAGCTTAGTTAATTAAGATTAAATTTTCTAAGATGTTACAGTTGTTGTCTTAGGATCCTTGTTTGATTCTTGAAGATACAGCATATGGTTTAGGGATTGGAAAACAAATATGAACTGGAGCTAGTGATGCTGTTTAAAATTTCTGAGCATAATAGTTTTAGAGACTTTATCACAAATGGCAACTGGAATTGGTGCTTGCTTGAAAACTAACGACCTCTAAACATATAATTTTGTAATTTTCAGTTTATACAAAACACCCAAACATTGATGATAGTGATGCAAGAAGCAATTGGAATCTCACTGGGAATGGTGCCTATAAAGCAGACTTTAGAAAAGAAAACTTAATCCTCATCTAACTACTTTTAAAAATAGTCTAGCCAAACTAAAAAATAGTATTAAGTAATAATTCTGGGGAGGTAATAAATTATAGTTGGCCGCCTTCCAATATTTCAGTGTATGTTATTGATGAATGCCGATTATTATTTCTCCTACCAAATTATTCATGTGAATCAAAATGAACCCAAAATATTCCATATAAACACAACTAACAATTCAAGCCAAACTCACTCAAGTTTGGCTTGAATTTTTTTGATAATAGATAAAGTGTCATTTTTTTATATTCAATCTTAATTATTTTTTGAATTTATTGGGATTGATTTAAATTACTAACTCTACTGTCTAACAATATAATATGGGGAGAGTCTCACTTAAGGCTCTCAGAATACAAAAATTTGCATTTAGGGCCTAATAGATTTGAAAATGTATTGCAGGCTTGAGAGCTTTTTTTTTTTGCAAATTTTGTTATAGATAAAAAGACGCACTTGCCCTTATCTCAACAAAATATTCATGTATACACAACATGATGTTCATAAATTATCAATACAATATTCATGAATGCACAATACATTTAGTAGACATTGCACAAGCAAGCAAAGGATGAACAATATAATATCCATGAATGCACAACATGATGTCTATCAATTCTCAACATAGTAAACATATGTAGCATAAAGTCTATAATAAACAACATACTTTAAGTTAATGTCCATCAGATGTGTTATATATTCATGAACATTGTGTTAAGAATTTATGAATATGTTGTTGTGCATATATGGGCATTCTATTGAGATAGGGCAAATGCCTCTTTTCATCCACAATAAAATTTGCAAGAAGGGCTCTCAGGCATATAGTGAATTTTCATATTTTATTGGGCCCTAAATGCAAATTTGTGTTATGGGGCCGTAAGTGAGATTCTCCATGTAATATATGTCATACATATGTTATCATTCTTTAAAATAATTATTTACTTTTTATTTTTAGCATAAAACACATTTATTAAGTAAAGAATGATTTTTATTCTTTTTTCCATCTCATTCTATTCATTTCTTGATTAGGCTTGAAGAGATTTTTCTTCCCATAGCTCAACGAGAAATGCAGGAAAAAAAATCCCAATTAAACTATGTTTATAGCCAAGCCTTTTATCAATATTGTTTTTGATAGTATAAGGAGTAAGCCTAACTGAAAATAGAGATTATATCTTTCGAGATATTGAGGGTAAATGGTATACCTCTTTCAATTAAATTGAAACATATACAAGGGTTGAGATTCAAATTTCCAATTACTTGCTTAAGTGATGAGAGTCCTAATCTATCACACCCCTAAAACAAAGAGTGACTGGCATAGGATGTGAATTGTATCATACATCCTTTAAGCCTCAAATTAAGTGAAATTTCACTTTTCAAAAACATAATTGTATTTTTATTGAAATTATGATATCTTTAACAATGATTGTTTTAATAAAAGTTTTAATATTTTTATAAAAATTTTGTCAGAACCTTCTTTATAAATAAGATTTCCCGAAATCTCTATAACAGAAATTATTATAGTATGCATTCAACAGGTTAAAACTATGTTTCCCAGATACAAACAGTCGACATAATAGAACAAAAATCAGGATCCTAGCTATAGTTAACGTGGAGCTCCTAAAACATAATTTTTTTTAAATAAAATATCTAATTGAATATTTACCTTAAAAGAGAAGAGATTTACAAAATAAATATTTATCCCGCACAGTTGCAAGCCCTTAAAGGTTGGCAAGAGGCCCAGCGTCAATTAATAAATCTGAGACCAAAATAATTTTCAGTGAATAGCATCTCTAAAAATAAAATTTAACAGAGCAAAATAATAAACTTACTATTATATGAAATAATTGAAAGGAAATTAATTCAGATTAATAACTCACAATAACTAGAAATATCAATTATAATAATAAAACATGAATGAGTTAAAATTTCTCGAATATGATATGTTAAAGGAAGATAATTTACTCATAATTGAGTAAAAGTAGCAAACTTACTAACTACAAACATTGAAAATTCAATTATACTAGCTAAGAACAATCAATATAATATAATCATGAATTTAAAGATTAAGAAGTTCCATATAACTTCAAACTACTAAACCACCAAATTGATAATAACAAAACAGTTCAACTCTTTGTGCTTGTAAAGCAAATTAAATAAATAAATAAATAAATAAAAGTACCCTTTATTAAATAAAACCAATAAATCGTTTATTTATAAATCAATTAAAAACTAATATTTTTAAGGACTTTTGCAGAGCAAGTATCAAACGTGAACACACAGTCCACGAGGGTAAAATAACCAAACGCGGCTTGTGCCACGAAAATAAATGTGGACACACCAGTCCATGAGGGTAAGTAACCAAACGCGGCTTAAGGCCACAAAACAAACGCGAGTGCGAGGCTCACGAATAACAAACGTGAGAATAGAGCTCACGAAAAATCAAACTAACTAGTCATTAACCAAGGCGCACCAAGGGCTAGTGGAACTGCCGTTTGCAACAGTGTTCTGCTTAAAGTCCTCGTAAAATCACTTTTCAAACATGCGAGAATAATCATTTTTGAAATACACTTTATGTTCTCAATATCAAACTCGCATGAATCATGTCAAATCTCAGAGTTCACCAAAACATTGTTTCATAGCAAATGTATAAGCTTGTACTAGATGAGTAACCAAGAATTTCAAAAGTAAAATAAACAAAGATGCCTCCATTGATCTTGAAAATATATTTCATAAAGAAAATACATGCATATACCATAATTTAATTAACTTTTACCATCATTCTAAAATTTTCAGAACCAAAATGATTTCATTAACAAAGTACATAATAATCATCGTAGTTGTTAAAATGATTTATATGAAAATGTAATATTTTAAAAACAGACTACTTTAATTGAAAAATGATGGGGTGCTATTCACTTACTTGCTGAATTCCAAACCCAATGATTTCCTTCCTCAATTCTTATCAAGAGACTCATCTTCCACATACCCTATATGAATAAATGAAACCTCAATTTGCTTCCTATAGTTATATAAATTTTATTCCATTACCAACACAATCCCAACCACTTGAAGTATTCAAGATTTCAAAAACCAAAATTTATATCTTAATGGTCTCCAAACATCATCACTTACCACCAAGTTACCTCATATCATACCAATCATAACTACTATTTAAATGAGATATGGTTTTTTTTCTTATACCTTGTGTCAAACACCTTGGGTGCAAAATTCTCAAACACCTACAATTAAATTTATCATGCTTATTTGGCCCATTTCTCAAATATCTTAAATGTATTCTCAAAATTGAATGATAAACACCCCTTTACGTATGAATTTATAAATTACTCAACATAAATCTTTTAAAAATTTAACTAACTAGACTATAACTCAAGAATCAAACTCCTTGCAATGCTCAAGTTAAAACTCACATAAATAAAATTTGAATCGATCATGCCGCTCATCCCACTAAATAGAATTTCAGAAAAGTATAAATCTAGCAAAACTCTTCAAACAAGCATCTCACCGAACACCTTATAAGCACCAATCTCAATCTCATGCTTAAGCCCTTCCCCTTCCAACTTCATCCCACCAAATCCTCAAAATCAATCAATTAAACCAAATTACTTCAACTTAAAATTCAAACCCATATATATACCATTATGAAACTTTAAGATCTATTTATAACTTAACTTTAAATTTTCATTGTCATTTCATTTTTTTTCCAGCAGCACGGCAGCAGCAAAACCAACAGAGAAAAAAAATTGAATTTTGATATCCATGACTTCATCCACTTACACGCACAGAAATTTCTAAGGAAAGGAGAAGTGATCACGTTTCTTACCTCTAATAAACCAACACGCACGAATAGGGAGAGGAAGAGGAAATCGTGCCTGGATAGAGGAGGGGAAAAAAATTGTCGTTGAGCGCAAGGAAGAGATGAACAGATCGGTAACTGATAAAGCAAGCAAAAGAAAGCAAACCTTCTTGCACCCATCCATACAGTCACCAACAGCATAGAAGAAAGAATTTTGGCGAGCTGGAACAGAGGAGAAGAAAGGAACAAAAGTCACGAGTTGTTGGATTAGTGTCGGACGGAGCTTCTGCAATCACACCGGTGAAGATTGTGATCAAAAAGGATGA